GAAGAGAAGCCATCGGTCATGATACTTTTGGGCGGGCAGGGATATCCTTTGGCATCATGATGATAGTACGGCGCTAAGTTAAGCTTAGTTACAGGAAGAAGGTGGAAGTTGGGAGTTGCTGCTCCGCACTTCGCAGCCGATCCCAAAAAAAAAAAACTTATAAATGGGACATCTGGCGCATGCCTCGGATTGAGGGTGGGAGTCAATTACCAGCTACCTAACTTCCGCTGGGGCTTTACTTTTCAGTCTGTCAAGATGACACTGGCTATCCCTCAGCTCCCGAGCGAACTTTGGGCTCGCATCGCATCATTTTCAGACCGAAAATCACTCAAAAATCTTCGTCTCACTGGCCATAGATGTTCGAAGTCTGCGACTCGGGAGCTTTTTAGGGAAGTGAGGCTCACGGTAGGTGATCCGAGCTGCGTTCGATTGGAGCAGGTTCGAGCGCATGAGGAATTGAAGCAATATGTGAATAAAATTAACTTGGGACTTCGCGGTTGGTCACCTGTAAGTTGGAATTGTCAGATGCTAGTTTTATTCTGCTAGGCTTTTCAGGAAGAGGCCTCTGCAACTTAGGTATATGGCTTCATGAAGGGGTCTGGAAAGCATATTATCTCACACAAGCGCCTACGAGTAATGTTGAAAGATTGAAAGCGGACTTTATAGATGGGCCTTTCCCAATTAGCTCTTCCCAGCAGATTTGGTCTTCAACTGAAAGCCTCATTGACTGGAACCTTCCAACTCCGGGACGCCGCTTGTACAGTATTATGAAAGATATAGAAGCAAGACTAACAATAGATTTCATTGCAAGCCGGTTTTCCTTGGTCTATGCGACTTTTGAAGTTGATCACAGCGATTATGGCAAACGCAAGTCCCGAGCTTTCAAAATGGTTGCAAAAGACTGGGGTTGCGATGTCAAACAAGTCAAACAAGTTGAAAAACGAGGAAAAAACTATATCAGCTTGATGAGAGACAATCTGGCTATTATTAGAATTGAAGCCCGAAGTTTCTGGAATGTGAGTTATTCTCTTCTTTTGTTTAATTCAATAACTAACAATTATTAGTTGCGAATACCAGCTAACAAATCGACTGCGGCAAGCGATCGCTCGTTGGCACCAACAACGGTATCCCAGTGAAAAGACGATTGAAAGGTCTACCTTAGCTGCAAAATCATACTTCAAGGATTATATACATATGGAAAAGGGCAATATTCTTATTCTTCGCTTAGGGATTCCCCGAGCCGTTTATTAATTGAAGTGAAGCGATACATGACCTGGGACAACGACGGTATTATCACGCCTACACCGCTCTCGGAGCTACTGGATAATCCGGGCCAGCCACACCACAAATTTTCACTACCGCGAGTCCACCAAATGCAATCCGTGAAAACCTAGCAGTTTCACAAACATGGGAACATTTAGAAGTGGACAATACATTACTGCCAGCGAATTCGGAGCAACAGCCACTGCCAGTACCCCAGTTCCAGATAGTTGACCCCGGCCTCCATTCCCAGCGCATCGAGGATTCATATATCTTTGCGCATCCGCAGCCACCGCCACTGCCCCAGTCCATCAGCACAGGGCTACACTCCCAAGAAATAGACGGGCCAATGACATCAATAATGGATTTCAATGAGACACAAAGACAAACTATCGATACATCACTGCAATCTCGCCAACAGGAATATCAAATGCCACTCCAAAACGATGTTAATTGTTTTCAACAGCCGTTGCAGACTTCCGCTTCTTTTTTGCGTTAGAAACATAAACACAAACCATTGGTGGGCTCAACGTGTCGTCGTTAGTGACCCTGTTAATTGAACCCCGCTGAAGCATATCTCCCGACCCAATCCTCGGTGTTCCCGACAAAACAATTAGGTCCCCGTAACCGGCCTCATTTGTAAACGTGGCATGTGCTTGAGTCTTGTATGCAGCACAATCGAACCCCTAGAACTTGTTACTTCTTTTCTGTGCTAGCCATATTTCATAGCTCGCTACCTTTTCATAAACTTCCCCAACCAACATCCACACTCGTTGACGAAGCTCCGGATCGTCACAGTAGTATTGTCCAGTTTAAGATCTGTTTTATCAAACCAGTCCAAGAAATCTTTTCAGCGTTCATCGTCTATAATGGAGACTTCCAAGTTGGGTTTGACGGTGGCCATGGCGACGGCAGATGCAGCGTATATATGTGAAGGACGTAGGAATGTTCTGCCTCTCACGCAAAGGTTAACTTCGGGGATTTCGCTCAAGGGTTACAAAAATACATTACTTACTTTCTGACTTGCGCAAGGACAGGCTTGGAGAGCAAAATCGCGCAACTTCAAAAGCTCAAAAATGGAGGGGTTCACAAAAAGAAAATTGCTTAACCCGTTTGACCCCTCATTCTACTTAAATTGAAGTTTGACTTGTTTTTTATTGATATTATAGTTGTTGTCAGTGGTTTTTCTTTTCCTTATTTTAATAAAGCTGTTTTTTACAATGTTTATTTCTTTTGTTTTCAAACTGAGTTGTGTTGACTTGTTGACATTCTTTTGATTTTGATTTCTTTGATTGAACAATTTGAATAGTTGTTTGATTCTGGGCTGGAATTCTGTTAATGCATGTATCAAATTGCTTTTGTATATTAGATTATTCTTGATTTGAAAAATTCTGAAGCATTTCAGGTAGATGTCATAGTCACGACTTCCGTAATTTCATGTGACTCGGAAATCCCCAACCACTTCTGCGATGTTAATCACCCCCTTCCCCTCCTCCCCACAGCGCAGCCCAAGAAAAAGAAAATTACGTTAGGGCAGCATCGTGAGATTTGATTTCGACATGACCTTCAGGTGCGTTGCGCGAAAGTGCGGTGGTATCGTGCTGGTTTCTACTGGTTCTATTGCTGAAGGGCTCCACTCCCTTCCGATCCGTCTTTTCAATTTTCATGTTTTACGGCAAAATATTTTAGTTGGTTTGGGTGGTCGAACAACCTCCCCTCTTCCAACCTTGCGATCACGGAAAAATCATCCATCGCTTCCGTGTTTCAAGCTACTCAAGGCCAAAAAACGCATAAATTTAGGATTCATGATATTCCGAAAGTGTTTCCTTCTAGTAGGCTATGAGGGCGTTCGCATGCTCTGCAGCAACACGACGCGTTAGTTTCCAAGGTTAGCTAGCCAAATACGGTGTCAACCCCCCTGTTTCGTTCGCGCTTATTACCATTCCATCGCGATCGAATAAGATCTCCACCAGGCTCCTTGCTCTCCACCCGGTTCCTTGCTCGGCGGCTCTATCCGTTCCCACATTCGCGTTCTGCATCAGAGCCAAGCCGGATCAACCCTTTGACCATAGTCCTCCCTTGGATTATATATATCAGCATCTGTTCCCAGCGAGCTATCTTCTCTCGCAGGTATCATACGTCATAACTTCCTGACAGTTCTGCATTTTGTTCTCGTGTTTGCTTCCCATCACATAATATTAGCATACCAGCCTAATTTTTCTCCCTTACAACTCCTAATTAACCTCGCACCAACCCAACGGTCTTTTATGCCGTCAAAATGGCGGGACTTTCACATGAAGATCGCAAAATTATCAAGAACCATCCTCTAACCAACTTAGTTGATCGTTTACGAAACGCGCTTCAGGAAGCCGAAAGAATATATGAGTCGCGTCTAATTTATGATGGCGCTGATGAGAGCCTTGACCAACTCTATCGAAATGCGATTTCAAAACTCCTCTCCGCTTTACTGGGAGAGGATGCAGCTTACAGCCTTCGCTCGCGAATGAGTAACGGGAATATGGCGTCTGATCTAGCACACTTAGTCGAGCGCCTCCAAAAAGCAAAAGGAAACTTCAGGTACGACGAGTATCGCCTGCTGGTACGCCTGGTTATCCAAAGGCCACCAGACGATGAACTCCAGGGCGTCGAAAAATGGAACATCGACATCTGGACTGCTGTATTTAACCTCATTGACAACGCCCCTCGAACAACTCCTCCGGCAAGCGTCCCCCCCTCCTTTGACGGCACACCAGTCAAATCCACCTCATCATCGCAGAAAGGTTCCGAGCAGACGCATGAGTTGGTGAATCTGAGAATCTTCGAGGAGATATGTGGCTGCACCTTTCGAGACGTCAAGGGCTTCTTCAACAAATACTTTGAGGAGAAGGACTGGAGCGGCAAAGCAGATGCCATCTGTCGACGCGTATTGGCCCCGGGCAGCGACCGAAATTGGGCCCAGTTTCCTGATCCTCCTACACAGGACAATGTCCTCGCCTGGTGGTTTCGTCTTCAAGAAGACCTTCTCTCGGAATCACGCGGCACCTACTACACCACGGCCAGCAAAGCGGATCTTACTGGTTCGAAGGCGGAACGGCAAGTCGACCTTCTTTTGCGAGCTAGGAGTGGGAGCCCCTCGCGAAACAAACACAACTGGAGAGACATCCTGGTAGTTGGCGAGCTCAAAAAATCCAAGGAGGAGATCAAGACCAAAGGCACTGTGCTTCAGATGAGCCGCTACGTGCGTGAGGTCTTTGCCGCCCAGCCCACCCGGCGGTTCGTCCACGCGTTCGCCGTCTGCGGGACCAAGATGGAGGCGTGGGTGTTCGACCGTTCGGGTCCCTATAGCTCCGGCATCATCGACGTCTATGAGGACTCGAGACGGTTCTTTCAGGTGCTTGTCGGGTACACCATGATGAGTGATGAGGACCTGGGACTGGATAGTTTTATTGCTAGGGATGAAGACGGCAACAAATCAATAACTGTCAAAGGGCCTGGGACGTTAGACGAAAAAGTGCTGCAGCTGGGTGAAATACTTTCCTTTCAACGTGCCATCGTGTGTCGCGGTACCACGTGTTTTCTCACAAACGATGGACAAGGCGTAGCTAAATTCTCGTGGGTGTCAGACAAGCGGCGGCCGGAGGTGGAACTCCTCGAGCTAGCAGGTCAAAAGAATGTCCAAGGAGTCGCAAGGATCATCGGTCACAGTACCATCACCAGCATCGCCGACATGCGCTGCGGCCTGACGTTCGACGACAAGCGCCACGACTTCAAAAGCGCACCCCCCAGCGCAGCCTCCTCGTTTCATCAATCTCAGCCGCTCATTGAGCCGCGTCACTTAGATATCCGTCGAAAGTCATCTTCCAGAAAACGCAGATCCCCGGACAAGGGGATGCAGATGTCCAAACAATCACGTTCCACCAATCAATCATCAAGGGACACCCAGGAGGAGAATGAACTAGCTTTCTCCATTCAGTCAGCACACAAACCGAGCCTCTTCGACAGGAATGGTGAGGAACTCTACGACAACCGTGTCCTCCGGTGTCTTGTGATCTCACCCCCTGGCCGGCTGATCTACAGGTACGAATCACCACTGGAGCTGCTCAAGGCACTTCGCGATGCAATTAAGGCGCACCGGTCTCTTTACCTGGATGGGAACATCCTTCATCGGGATATTTCGGAGAACAATATAATAATAACCGATCCAGATAAAGCGGATGGTCACTCAGGTATGCTAATCGATCTAGATCTTGCCAAAGAAGTCGGAAGCGGGCGAAGCGGCGCGCGTCACCAGACTGGCACGATGGAGTTCATGGCGATCGAGGTGCTACTTAATATCGACCATACCTATCGGCATGATCTCGAGTCGTTCTTCTACGTGCTTATCTGGCAATGTGCCCATCACGGTTGGGAATTTAAACCGCCACAAACATCTCATCAACTACAGGAGAGGCCCAAATCTAGTACGCTCAAGAAATGGTACACCGGCACCTACGAGGATATTGCAACTTATAAACGAGGCAACATGGAAGCTGGCGGTTTTGAGCGCATCCTGATGAAAGAATTTCCTCCATCGTTTGACTGGGTCAAACCACTCTGCAGAACCATACGGCGCATACTATTTCCTCATGGGGAGGAAGGACTTATTGTTGGAACGCCGCAAGACCCACAAAGGTTATATGATCCTATTATCAAGGCGTATGATGATACGATAGCTCTGATTGAAACCAAATAGGTTTAATGATTGCTATGTTCTAGCGAATAAGCATTTATATTAGCCCAGCTTACTAAATCAGCTACATGATCTACTTTTAAGAATGAAATATAGGACCTAGAAAATATTCTATGTCTCGTGGAGGAGTAGTGGGAACAAAAGCATTGTTGATTTCCAGAGCTTTTTCACGCGCAATTATGAGAAAATGCCGGCACAATAGTGAACTCCCACCGAGAAGTAGCCATATGACCCAAACCCATGAGCATCACAGGGGAGTAGTTCGTTTCGATTCGCAGATGTACATGGTTGGGTAACAATCATAGCAACGTATGAACAAACAGGGACTGTCCAATTATCAGATTCCCCCTCCTTCCATTCATTGTACTCATTCTCGACGTACCTTGGTGAACGGTCAGCAATGAAGCCCACTGGATATGGAAATAATGCTTACCGGCACTCAAATGTTACGTGCTACGTTCTGATTTTCTTTCGCAGAGGCCTGTAGATCGACAATATATTGTTCTTTGCTCCGTGTTTCTATTGTCTCGAGTATCGCGGACATTCGCTCAAGTATTTCAATCATTTCGAGCTGTGTTAACCAGTTACGATGACGATGACGCCAAGACATGGCTTTAGTGGGACGTCCAACCCACTACGTAGACCATAACGCCGGTCATCCACTACTACGCGCGAGAGAGACTGTGAGTTCGCAAGGGCCGACTGCTACTTGGGTGCGACTATGATACACGGAATTCGCAGGTATGGCTACACATATCCTAGAACTCTTCATTGCCACTTTCCAGAAGTGCTACGTTGTCTCTTAATGCAAGGAAAGCCAAAGCCCAAAAAATGGCCCGGGCTTGCAGAAGATTATATAATGGTCGGTTCTCCCTGACCCTTCTTTCAAGAAGAGATAACTTGCTAGATAGAAATGGTAATGAAACAAACTCTGCCATTTCTGCATCCAAATGCTATAGTACCATCCTTGGCATCTGAAGAGGTGGGCTGATAGTCAAAAGGCAGCCATAACTCTTTTCGACCCTGAATAGTAACCCACCGACCAGCCTGTAGGGATAACTCAGACTTTATTTCAGATCTTTCGGAAGAATTTGATGAGAAGCCTTGATGCCAGACTTGGATATCATAAGATCCGAGGTTTGTTTGAAGCTGGGGCAGCTTATTTGAGAATTTCATGTTAGTAACATTTCCATCAGCACTCAGAGTATGCTTCAGAGCGCCAGTGGCAGGATTTCAGAGCTTGATAATTTTATCATCAGAGCCGGACGCCAGAAGCCGGCCATCTTGTGAGAAGGCAACTGACTGAATCCAACTAGAATGGCCCTCCAAGGTTTGCAATTCTGGACTCCAGATTTCTTCCACTCTTGGGCCTCTAGATAACCAATCAGGGAGCTCTGCCTCAAAATTCCTCCTGATCAGTGCTTTTTGCGGCGCAAAAACCAGGCCAGAGCTGTACAGCTGCAGCGGTGCCGTGTCAACGATGTTTGCAAATTTGAAGATAAATCTGCGAGCATCTGAGAGAAAAAAATATACCGCATTATTGGATATGTCCTATATTTCGACCAATATTAGTCGGTCGGCTGTCTTACGAGCATGCATGATACTTACCTTGGTCAATTGAAGCAAAGCATCCACAGCATTTATGGTTTCGGATATCAGCCCTAAAATACTCATCGACTCCAGCCAATGAAGATAGTGCTCTTTCAGGAAAAGGAGCACTTGGTTGAGCTTCCTTGCTGGTGCCGAGCTTTGGGTGAGATGGTAAACCCAATAACGACAGGCGTACTGAAGGACAGGCGGCAGGAATCTTGCCATAGTGGTAGGGTCTATCTCAGCTCGGCTTTTCCCATAACTTTCTAACTCGCAAATATTCTTTTTGAGATAACAGCCCATGACACTAAGACATTGTCTAGTTATGAGCTCATGCTTCTCCCCTTTATCGACCCAGAAGTGGGATATTTTCATATCTTTTTTCGTCGCGTCATCCAGCAGATAATCGTGAAAGGACGAATGGACGGTCTGTATGGGTAGATTGGGATCGCTAGGTATGGTCAAAACTGAATGAAAGGAGCGTAGCCGGATGCTGATTTTGCGTTCCTGCAGCTCAAGCAGTTCTGCAAGAGAACTCAGCGAAAGCGGACTAGCGAGAAGAATGATCACACCGATGATTTTCTGGAACTCTGCAATCAGCTTGTCCCTATCACTTTTATCTTTGACCAGGAGCTGTTTCAAAACTGGCCGGTATGTGTCATCCAGCTTGTATCCCGATGAGGTAGTGAGAAACTCCTGTAGTTGCTCTTGCGGGTCAAAATTACTATCTCCCACGAAACGACATACTGTGGCTGCAAAGATGAAGAGCGGAGCAGCCCTTGTTGCCAAAGTTTCAATTTGTTCCTCGCCAGGCCAGGCTGGAGGAAGATTATGCTCGGGATTTTGTTGTATTTCAGTGAATTTTTCCGTGAGATACAGAGTGATATCATGCTTGGTCAAACCATCATCCACTTTATGCAAGGGAGTGTGTTGATAATGCCTCTCGCCGATTTGTTCAAATTTGAAGTGAATAGGCTGCTCTGGCTGGCTTGTTAAGAACAATTGGATTGGCATACTTGTTGCTGTCACAACCTTGGCTAACAGAGTAAGGATCATGTTCGCGTCTTCCTTTGGTTCACACTCGTCGAGAGCATCAATGACAACCAGAGTGGAAGACACAGCTTGACCCTGATCGACGGCGAGTAGTGGCTGCAATATAAGTTTGTCAAACTGTTCCGGAAGCGTTTTATTGGCAATAGCAGGATCATCCTTTATAGCTCTTCGAATCCCAGTGATCATTTGAGGAATGTGGACGGCTAATTGCTTCACAATTGTTGGGGAAAACTTTGCAGCCGAGCGCCGATCTCCCCTGCCTCTTTTGAAAAAGAAACTCGCGCCAAGAGTGCCATCCTCCTTAAGCGATCGTGCTACTGTCCTTGCAATAGTGGACTTGCCGGTACCTGCCATTCCGCTCAGCCAGAATATGCATCTGTCACTCGACCTCCCCCAATCCTTCACCTGTTCGAGCAGTTCTGTTCGCATTCCAGGAAGGCATTCGTCCTCATATTGATCCATAAAGGAGCCGAAAATTACGCCTTCAGCGAAAGGCAGATTTAACATGGCAACCGCTTCATGCACTTTTTTGACATCCATCATTAATCTGTCGATGTCACTCAGGATGGCCTCTGCTTTGGCTTTTCGATGCAGGTGCTGGTCCAGCAGCAGCCAAAGATGCAGGCAAGACTCCTCTTCCTTGATTGAGGTCTTGAGCTGCGCGAGTTGCTTGCTTGTTACAGCTGTTATGCTTTCCATGATGTCTTTTCCCTTGTTCGACTGTTGGACCTTGCATACTTCGGCGGAGTATCGCAGTATTGCCACATACACTCGGACGATCGATCCTTCTTTTTCGGTGTTTGTTATGACTGACACACTGCCACCATAAAACCGTTCTTCGATGAGAGCACAACGGGTCAGCAGGTCTGCCAGGTACTCAGAAGAGTTGAAAAGAGCATCCCAAAGGTCTGCATGGTTGCTGGCCATCTAAATAATTAGCTAACCGCTCCGCTCCGTCGGTGGGATGGACATACTGTTAATCCAAGAGACACTATCACCCAAGCACTTGACACATACCCAGTTGGATCAAATTTCACAATATTATTGACAACATCTTGATAGGATAGCGCGGAATTCAGTATCTTGTGGGCTGTTGCTCGAATGCCGACTTCCCTTTTCTGGTACTCCTGGTACTGCATCTTTGTTGTCTTGACTACTTGGTCCACTATGTCCTTGGTCCGTAAACGGCCAGCGTCCGGATGCTCGGTTGCCATCGCTGGGAGAAGTGTTGCCAAAGTGTTCCGGTCGCTCTCGCTTAAGGCGTTGTACGCCATCTGCCAATGATCCTTTGCATCACGGTCGTCATTCTCAGAATTGTCCGTCGTGGGATCGACTGAGCCGCTCTTTGTGTCTAGATTAGTGGGGTCATTTGAAGTACTTGGCTCTGGTGCAGCAAGATGTGCATCTTTGTCTCTGCTTCGCCCTCTCGATGCAGTCTTCAAGCGTCCGAGCATGTTGTGCTTCTTTTTCTGGGCTGAACCGATAGAAGTACCGTCCATGGTCGAACCTGCGGAATAGGTTTGTGATGAGATTTAGTCACAAGAGTGCCTAGTAGACTTGGATAGAAAATCCAAATCAGGCACCAAGAGGAGGGGAAACGACCATGGCCAATTTTATAATCGAAGATCATTGGAGATGCAGGAAGACAGAAATAGTGGCCTTCAGCCAGCCACAGGCTGCAAGGAGCCCAGTTTCTACACACCAAATGTTTTTGCTTCTTCCCCTACTAACATTAGTGGGATATGATACTATGGGAGACTGAACAACATTCGACGGTGAAACCCGTTGATATCAGTGTTCTGGTTTTACCAAATTACATCGAAACAAGAGTAAATTACCGCGATTATTTTGCGCTAGCTCGATATAATTTAGCTCCAGAGTCGCTGCCAATAAAAATCTCAACTCATCCAAAGCGATCCCAAATCTCCAAGCAACAAGAGCGATTATGCCGTTGCTTGGTGGAAATGCTGCTGGAGAATGTACATGAATGGTGTCATACCGTACATAAGCAAATGCCGCCAGCCCTCCTGTACCTTCGTGGCTTATTGGGTATGGATGGCCATGCACATATTGATTCCCAGTTGGGTTGGGCGAAGTGAAGATCTGAACAATTTGTTCATGGTCTCTGACAGAACACATACATGAAGAAACACGACCGTCCATACAAGTGTATGAACTCAGGTTGCAACCAGCGCTTTACTCAGTCAGGTGTCATGCACCGTCATGTACGCGAGATTCATTGCGAAGGGAACAAGTGGATGTGTCCTTATTCAGGCTGTCATAGCAGCTCAGGAAAAGGATTTAAAAAGAAAGGGAGGTCTCGACACCCATATCCGCTATGTTCATACGGGGGCAGGAGCGGATTCTCTGCTTGCTCTTACTGCGACGGCGGTCCTCCTCTTCCTCTTCCTCTTCAACTTGGTTGCTCTTGCTCCGGCGGCCTGTGCTCTTGCTCTTACTGCGGCGGCGGTTCTCTTCTTCCTCTTCCTCCTCCTCTGTTCTCTTGCTCTTTTTCCCTTCACCTTTCTGAGCCCGTTCCCCCTTGTTCACAGAAAGAAGTAGTCATGCTCAGATCGGAGAAAGGGCTTCTGTTAAATAGATTTGATACACCTGTCTCGAATAAAACTATGAAATCGTTGTGTTGAATTTGTGATTCTCCAAATAGCAGATGTGCCGGGCCATCTAGAGAGTAATCCCTGTTTCTCCTGTCCAACTCAAAAGTGGCGCAAACGGGGATAGAAAGATATCTGCGTGTTTGGGAGCCGGAGGGCTCCAGGGTAGGGGGTTGAGGAATCAGTTTGTCGGTTTAACATTTTCTGCGTCAATACCGGGAAATACATCTAGTGCCACGATTTTCCTCACCGACCTTCAGTGACTGCGCTAGAACGACGCGTGAATAATATATTTATGTACCGGATAGAACTTTTCCTGGAC